TGTCCCCCTGTGTTGCTGGGGGGGAGGAGGTAGAGAAATTGGGAGAAAAATTAAGCCCAGGAAGAAGAGAGGGGTGAGGGGAAGGTGTTTTAAGATTTGATTTTTTTTCTCATTATCCTCCTCTGATTTGATTGGTAATAAATTAAACTAATTTCCCGAAGTCGAGTCTGTTTTGCCCGTGCCAGTAACTGGTGAGTGATCTCTCTCTGTCCTTATCTCCACCCACGAACCTTTTGTTATATTTTCTCTTCCCTGTTGAGCTGAGGAGGGGAGTGACAGAGCAGCTTTGGTGGGCACCTGGTTTCAACCCACCACACATAACAAGTTTTATAACAGAATTTGTGGATAAAGATGTGATTTAGGTTAAAACCCTGCATTATTAGTAAGCTCATAATGCCCTTTTACCACTTTTGTTACAAGTTTACTGCGTGCTAGTGTGTAGATTTCTCTTTCAAATCCAGTTGAATTGTACTTTATGTTGGTCTAAAGATGAGGTGCTGCCACAGCTCCTTAGAGAGTGGAGGGAGTTGGTTGGAGTTGAGGTTCCGTGTCAGCAGAACCTTTTAAGAACAGAGTAAGGACCTTAGATTTGGCAATAGCACTGCTGTCTGTAGGCATCTTCTGGCATAGTTTTATTTTATTTCTTGCCTTTTAAAAATAGAAATAAAGCTGAAAAGCAGGGTATCACTGAAATTTAGTTGTTCAAGAGTCCTATGTAGCTCTTTGTTATATAAATATGTAAATATATAGATCTTAAATTTTCTGCATTTGTTTACTACCCCATAGAAATTGTGTTGTTACACAATGTTAATAATGCATCTCAATAAATTCTCTGCATTAACTCTTTATATTGAGGAATTCTTTTTTCTGCTTTTCCCACTTAACAGCTTTTGCTTCCTTTCCGACTTTTTATTTCCTCAGATTTTAAATAGGAAAGTTTTAAAAGCACTGAAGAGGCACACAGTAACATATTGGTGTCAGTTTTCTGTACTAGAATTGTACCCTCTCATGTTCACTCTAAGAACAAAATAGTGTTTTTATTTAACACACTTGCAGGGAGTAAATCAGTTCTGATCTTCTCGGAACTCTGGTGTTTGAAAAAGCTTATGGCAGTGAGCGCAGGCAATGTGTGTGTACTTTTTATAGCAGAACACCTCTTTTTCCTCCTCATCTCAAACTTTCTTGCATGGCAACATTCTGTGCATTTGGCTTTTCATCATTGGATGTCAACATATCTTACTCTTCAGCAGAGATGCAGTCACTCTCCTTGTCTTTTTGATACCAGCATGCACTGTGCTGTTTTTCTGTAGTTATGTTGTTTTTTGTTTGTTTGTTTGTTTTTTTCAGGGCCAGAGTTGTGAGAACTAAATTGAAAATGGTTCTGGTGGAATATCTGGAGAGTTGTATTTCCCCACGAGCCCAAGTGCATTTCAGGCAGTGATGCCTTGGCTCCTGTAGCTAGGCATCTGTTGGAAAAAGGTCTCTTGCTGTGTGTCTTGCTTGGCATTAGGTTTCACCTGGGCTGAGGGACCCTCAACCTCTTCAGTGTCTCTCATTGTCGAGTATGGACTGTGCTGTGTTCACAGAAGGTGTAATGTGGTGCCTACGTTAGAACAGCCTCTGGGATATCAGGGTTTTAATTGTGCTTTGTCACTTTGCAGAATTTCTTAGAGGACAGAGACGTGTTCATTTGCAAATGAAAATAGTGATTAAGATGATGTTTTCATCTGTTTGTGGTGACTCAAGGTCTGATAGTAAGTACCCAATAATGGAAGTACCTACCCTGAGTCCTGCCAAACTGAGTGATCACAATGATAGGTAAAGTCAACTACAGCTGTTTAATAGCTTAGAATAACAACTCCTAAATACTTCCAACTTTCAGAGCTGCTTGTTGAAAACATGAACTATTAGGCCAATTAATCTTTTGATATAAGCATTAATAGATCATAGAATCATAGAATGGTTTGGATTGGAAGGGACCTTAAAGATCATCCAGTTCCAACCCCCCCTGCCATCAGCAGGGACACCTTCCACTAGACCAGGCTGCTCCAAGCCTCATCCAGCCTGGCCTTCTCAAAGCCTCATCCAGCCTGGCCTTCAACACTTCCAAGGAGGGGACATCCACAACTTCCTTGGGCAACCTGTTCCAGTGTCTGACCACCCTCACAGTGAAGAACTTCTTCCTAATATCTAATCTAAACCTCCCCTCTTTCAGCTTAAACCCATTTCCCCTTGTTTTGTCATTTACTGCCCTTATGAAAAGTCCTTCCCCAGCTTTCTTGTAGCCCCTTCAGGTACTGGGAGGCCACTATAAGATCTCCCTGGAGCCTTCTCTTCTCCAGGCTGAACAGCCCCAACTCTCTCAGCCTGTCCTCATAGGAGAGGTGCTCTAGCCCTCGGATCATCCTGGTGGCCTCCTCTGGACTTGTTCTAACTGGTCCATGTCTTTCTTATGTTGGGGGCTCCAGAACTGGACGCAGTATTCCAGGTGGGGCCTTACAAGAGCGGAGTAGAAATACTCACTTACTTGATAGAATGTTTTTGACTTAGAGTCTAACAAAGCAGTGGATTAATGATTTGCCTTCTCTTTTCTTTTTTTCTCTAGTGCAACAGAATGGAGTACGACACTGCACCTACTCAGCATCAAGGAAAAACCTGTATATTAACAAAAATACAAAAGTTATCTGTCAGGGTTTTACAGGCAAACAGGTAGGTATAAGAACTATTTCTTCTATCACCCTTTGAGTTCAGAAAGCTAGTTGGCCAAAAAAGTATAACAGCCTATAAAAGAGATTATATACTGGCTTTACCTGTGTTGATAGGAAGCTGGACTTCATGATCAGGAAGGTCTCTTCAGCACTTCATTTTTTTTTGTGGGTTTTTTTTTTTGTGGGGGTGGTTTTTTTTGTTTGTTTTGTTTTTTTGTAAATTCAGGAGACAATTTTTTTCACTCATACACAAGCTTAAAACTTGGTTTTGAGTCATCTCTGTTACATTACTTTTGATTTTTGTTGTTCATTCTTAAACTTTTTTATTGTATACAGCTGAAAGATTTTTTTTTTTTTTTTGTAAAGGGAGATTTGCAAAAAACTACATAAGCCTTATCATTTTAGAATTTCCTCATTCACAAATGCCTTTGAATGTCAATGTCTGTGAATTGAATTTCTGTTTTTATTTCAGGATATTTAATAATTTTGCTCACATTCACTCTTTTACACTTTTGCAAGGGAAGAAGACTGCTTTTGCTGGAACTATCAGCTAGTCATGGATGAAAATGCTAATTTCTTCTATTTCATTATAGTGTTTGTCATCTGTCAGACTCGATGTGGAAAATAAAATGTGGCTGCTATGTCTGCAGGTGTGTTAGCAGCACACAACAAAATATCCTTTAGTGTGCAACCACAGCGCTCTGATTTAAAAGAAAAAGCATAGCATATTCTGAGTGCATTTAAAACATGGTGATGCATTCTTCAAAATAACTGATTGTATATATATAGTGAAAACTTCCCTTCTCATTATAAGTTTAAGTGCCATAAATTGCCTTCAGAATTAAAGATAACATCATCTTTTTTGGTTCATTTTACTTGCTATTACATGCCTTTTAACTTTACTTATTTTCTCTCTCCCAGGGCACCTTTCACAGCCAGCAGGCATTGGACTATGGTACCAATTTAGTTGGAGGAATTTCTCCAGGGAAAGGGGGAAAAACTCATCTGGGTCTGCCTGTGTTTAATTCTGTGAAGGAGGTAATTTGCAGCAGTGAGTGGAGGGCAGACAATTTAATGCTGCTGAAGGGCTCCTTATTTCATTGCTCACACTGAAGAGACAAACATTTGAGCCATGGATGTCACTGTGCAAGGAGTGAAATAGAAGTCTTGTAAAAGAGGGAGCATTCAGTGTGGTCAATCATGAATTTGGCTTCCACTGTGAAGTTCACAGAGTCTGGATGCACTTATTTTATGCATGCAACTAAATTCTGATTGATTCTGGTGTGAATGATGAATTTTTAGCAAACTATTATTTAAGGGTATTTATGGTGGTGTTCATGGGGCAGATCCTTTCCAGACAGTGGTTTGTTCTCAGTTCCCTAGTTGTGCTGTATGCGTCTCATCTTCAGTGAATTTAACATTTGCTTTGATTATAGTAAATTAATACATGGCCCTTTACTTAATTTATGCCTGTAAATTGACATATTTTAAGTGACTAGTTGTCAAATGTTCTCTTTGGCCCCACTAAATGCCTGATAGCTTTTTTTTTTTGTTATGTCCATTGTAGGCCAAAGAACAAACTGGTGCTTCTGCCACTGTTATATATGTACCTCCTCCGTTTGCTGCTGCTGCGATCAATGAAGCACTCGATGCAGAAATGCCCTTAGTTGTGTGCATTACTGAAGGTATTCCCCAGCAGGATATGGTTCGGGTTAAACACAGACTGCTTCGGCAGGATAAGACTCGACTAGTGGGCCCAAACTGCCCTGGAGTCATCAATGTAAGTGACTTCTGGATTTGCTCCGAGGTTGAACCATTCTTAGTGATGGTTTGAATGTTGCATCTGACTTCTCCAACTCTTTCCTTAGCCTGGAGAATGTAAAATTGGTATCATGCCTGGTCACATTCACAAGAAGGGAAGAATTGGTGAGTTTTTGAATATTTATGCATCATCTAAAACTAAAGTTTGGTACTCTAGTGTCCCTGAAGACAGTTCACATGCTTTTTAACAGTGTGTCTGTCCTTCAGTTTGTATGTGAACTTTGCCATTATCAATGCTGAAGGCCAAAATCAGTCAGTCTACCATAGCAGGCACTGAGTGCTCATGGTAGAAGCAAAGAAATTGGAAGTTTCCTTAGGTAATAAGATTGACTTAGTTTCCTTAACACTCTCCTTTGAGGCTACCTCCATTTATCTTGGGATTTGAGAGCTCTAAGCTCTCCAATGCTATTCCTTCCAACAGCTTGGCTCCAGAGGACTAGGATCCTACACCTAGTAGCAGCTCAGTATTATAGCAAAGAGAAGAGGTTGCAGGCAAGTTTCTAACATGATAATTTAGACAACTGTACCGTGGCGAGTAGAAGTGACAAATACACCCACTTCTCAGCAGAATTAAGGTCGGAAAGGCAGTGACTTGTTCCTAATCATGTGTTAATTACGTGCCCTGTTCCATGCAAGTCTCTTGTCCTGACTTCTGTTGGTTCCTTGTTCTAAGCTATAGAAATAACAACTTGATTATTTGTAAAATAATGCTGTTCAGGAGCTATAAAGAAAATTCTTCTAAAATACACATTTGTACTTACATAGGGCTTCAGAAATGTTGTAGAGAGCATGTGCTGCTCTTATCAGTCAGCACAGTAAACAGTTTAACTTGAGCACGGTAACCTTTGCAACATTCATTTATTTATTTATTTTTTGGATGAAAAGTGTGTTCACTGTGTGAAAATCTGTTCAGCACTCTTGAAATAGGTGGACTCGGTGCAGTTTTTCTAACACCAGAAACTCTATCTATGCTACTTAACCACTTCTGACTGGAGAATAAGCTGTACCTAGTGAATACTGGAAGATGTGTTAACACTTGTAGCACACCTCCAGCTTTCAGAAGTACCTGTAAACCTGAAATTGAAATACCAGATGACTGCAATTTTGCCCTGTGTAGGTGCCATCAAGACACTGCTCTATGACTGTCAGAGGTAGCATGAACCAGTGTGACCCTGACCTCTCTTCTGAATCCAAGTTCTGTTGAGATTTTCTAAGTATCTGCAAGAAATGTCTTGTAGTCACAAGATACTAGAGTCTGAATACAAGGAACATCAAGTGCAAAAGAATATTTTAAATCCCGAATCCAGTTGCCCCACCATTGACTAGATGATGGTGATCGAAAGATCAGGGAATACAAATGTAACTGCCATTCTCCCAGCTTCATCTAACACTCTGACCTTTGGTGGTATGTTCCCCAGCTTTCTATTACTGTGAGGCATCCAAGAATCATTTGATGGTCTTGGGATGCAAGCTGTAAAAACAGCCACAGTCTTTGCACCTTAATCTGTAGCTTCTGTGAGGCAATAGGAAACAGGAAGCCCTTTGCAAACATAGCAAGAAAAAAGACCTTTGCTAGTAGACATCTGTGCTGTCCAGCAATATAAACAGTGGATAAAACCAAAGTTGTTAGTCTAGTGGTATATTTTTTCCTCTGTTCATGCAATATACTACTTATATTCCTTGTTAGATGGCTTGAAGTAGATGGAAGATGATGTCTCTGTTTGCTGGAAACCTTCCCTCTTGTAGCACTAACAGAAATCTTGACTTGGAAAGATGAACAAAAAACCCATGTAAATATTTTGCCCCTGATCTAGGCTCTGTATTACCTTCCATCATGAATTTAAAACTAGGGTTGTGATCTTTTGTAATACTGTAATGTAAATGCTGAGAGCGTATTACAGAGCAGTGAGCTGCAGCTACAAACACCTGAATAGTGATAAGTTGCGTTTGTGCAGCGTATTTCTGTTCAGGAGGATCTCTGGTGTGTCTGACCTTACTGGAGATGTGATTAATACAGAATTCTTTTTTTAACTGCTGAGCGTGCAAGTCTGTTTCCAGCTCAGTGCATCAGCTACAAGACAAGAAGTATATTCTTCAATTTTGTTTGTAGTTTTCTTTCCTGGTAAAGTTGTAGCGTGAGGAATTACGTCTCAGCCAGTATGACTGACTTTCTGGGCAGGTTTATTCTGTTGACAATTAAGCATTAAAAAATGTCAACCAAGAAATAGGACAGATAGACTCTTATGTTGAGTTTTCATGTTTTGGCAAGAATGGCTGGATAACCTGGCATCTCATGTTCAGTTTATTAAGGTGATTTTCATGAATATAAGAACAGCTGCCTCTAGTCATGCACTTAGCTATGTTAGTATTAAGTTTATCTCCTTTTCTTTCCTGAAGGTATTGTGTCAAGATCTGGAACCCTGACATATGAAGCTGTTCATCAGACAACACAAGTTGGATTGGGGCAATCTTTCTGCATTGGTAATGCATGTTGCACATAGACTAATCTGCTTTTTCTTTACAAGAAGAAATCCAAAGTAATTTCTTTTTGCAAGAAGTTGCTGAATGGCAATTATGTTGAAAAATGAGATCCCTATGTGCTGTGAAGAGTATAACCCTTCTCTGTTAGAATTTTCCCATCAGCTTAATAAAAGTCTAAAAAACAGCTTTGAACAAAGAACTACCGGCAAATATTATGTCAATTTGGAAACAAACTTTCCAAATAAGTTAATATAAAGGGATAGGGCATTCTTAGGCATTTAGTTGGGTATGTTAAGTACATTCATTTTTCTTACAGCAAAATTCTAGAGCTTGGTCCTGCTGTGTCTTATGTGCCTCTGTATAAGGCATAATATTTTGCTGATGGTTTGATTGGTGATTATTCAGATATCAAGGTTTTCTGTTAATCATGTGGGAGATATTTGGAGCAGAAATTTGGCAGACACTGACTTGGGGAGATCCTTCAGAGCTGCTCCTCTTATGAGCCTTTGGGAATATTCAGCATGCTGAAATGTACTTTGAAACTTTTATTATAAATGCTATAATATCATTATGTTGACTTAGTATTTTTTTTCCCCCGACCCCCCCAGGGATTGGAGGTGATCCTTTCAATGGAACTAATTTTATTGACTGCCTTGATGTCTTCCTGAAAGATCCTCATACTGAGGGGATCATATTGATTGGGGAAATTGGAGGAAATGCTGAAGAAGATGCAGCAGCATTCTTGAAAGAAAATAATACTGTAAGTCTTAAAGAGCTTGCTTCTGGACACCTTGCTAGTTAACCAGCTTCTTTTGCCAGTTAGCCAGCTTCTTTTTTTATGTCAAGGAAAACTCTGTTCAGTCTTTGATCTCTATTTACAAAAAAACAAACAAACAATAATATTTTTATTAAAGAGAAAGAGTTGAAATTCGGAGCTTTATCCAGATAAATCTTTCCAGATTGCATACATAGATAAATCCTTTCCAGGTTTTTCTAACTGGAGAGCAATGTTAGCTTTAGATTTTTAGTTCTGTAATGATATTTGTAGTGAACATTCTGGTTTTTGTAATATACCTGGCTCTGTAGAGTGGTGTTTTATAGTTTCTGATTGTTTATGATGCTTATGAGGAGTGAAAGTATTCCACGCTCCTCAGACTCTTGGTTCTGTGTTATCTGAGGTTTGTAGCTGTTTAATAACTTTACCTGGCTAGTTGATATTAAAAAAAAAAAAAATAAAAACATGGCATCTGAAATTGCATTTCACCTCACTCTGCCCCCCACACATAACACAGTACCTTTTCTTTCTTCACAGGGCCCAAATGCCAAGCCAGTAGTGTCATTCATAGCTGGTCTGACTGCTCCTCCAGGCAGGCGGATGGGTCACGCTGGAGCAATCATTGCTGGTGGAAAGGGTGGAGCTAAGGAGAAGATAGCAGCTCTTCAGAGTGCTGGTGTTGTTGTCAGCATGTCTCCTGCTCAGCTAGGCAGCACCATCTACAAGGTTTGTTGCTTGGAAATTGGTGTACATACTCATCTGGAGCAAGAAGATACTTTTGAGGCATTATGAGCTGGGAGTACATCTTTTACTCAGATATTCTGTGAGGGTGACAGAGCCCTGGGACAGGCTGCCCAGGGAGGTTGTGGAGTCTCCTTCTCTGGAGACATTCAAGACCCACCTGGACGCCTTCCTGTGTGATCTCATTTAGGTTCCTGCTCCGGCAGGGGGATTGGACTAGGTGATCTTTTGAGGTCCCTTCCAATCCCCAACATTCTGTGTTGCTCTGAACTTGGTTAAACAAGAACTCTATTGACTGAACAAGTTGCAGTTATTACTTAGATAATACGTGCATGTAGCTTTATGTAATGTTGTCTTTATAGAAAAGTAAACATGGCAAAATAGAGAAGAGATAACATTTTGCTTTCAAGTGTGGCAGCTTGTTGAATTGCAGTTTCTGGATGCAAAGAACCTGAATTAATTTAAAATATGAAAACATGCTTTGAAAGTCTGGTCTTTGAGGAAGGAAAGCCTTGGCATATAGGTCTGTCTAGTTTAAGTACTAATTCAGAATTATGGTTGAATACATACAGCTGAAAAATTTATGTATGAAATAGAATATTTGAATTTTTCTTAATTCATGTCCAAAAAAAGGCATTGCTTCATAGCTAGGCAAAATGCATAATTCAGCTGTGCTAGGTATTTTTTTTTTCCTGTGGTGACTGTGTAGTATAACATCTTCACAGGCTGCTGTGGGGTTCTTCTCTTCTTTTGTTGTGTTTTTTCCTTTACTAAAGTGAAAAATCTTTACTTTGTTGCTTCCCTGGCTTGAATCCTTCACTGTAAGGATTCTACTGCTGTTCTTGTGCAGAATTAGTGTTTTTCAAGCCTGTTGTGCTGTGCCTGGGAGGAAATGGTTCCTTGAGAGCATTGCAATCTGAGCAAAGTGCACCGACTGCAGTCTAGCACTGCTGGTTTTTCATAGCTGTTTTGTTAACGTGAGGTGGGAGAACACTTACCCACCTTTTCTCCAACTTGCACACATTGTGCATTTTATATTTTAATTTTTAATTCCAAAAATCAGATTTGCTAAGATAAATACAAAGAAATTTAAAATAGAATAGTAATAGAAGCCTTTCCTCCCCCCACCCACCCATAACGTTTATGTGCTATTTGCAGGAGTTTGAGAAAAGGAAGTTGCTGTAAGAGAAGACACTTTGGAATACTGTCTCCAAAACATCAGTGCAGCACCTGGCCTCTGCTTATCTTTTGTCTGCTGATCTTCGGTTGCCCAAATGACTGACACTAGTCTTTTGAATTTGACTTGGAAGCCATAAACCTCCTGGCTAAACCTGTTTTGATGTCTCCTTGGTTCAGACATGATCACCTCATTGTAAATCACAGCAAATTAATAAATCTACTACTAAATCTGATGCATCTTTTGAATTCCTGAAGCACAGCCATTTCTTCAACCACCATAAACAAAACAATCAGCCTTGAAGGTCTGAATCTTTTGTAACTTAAGCACTGCCCATTTTAAGGTAAAGTCGCTTATAGAGCTGCTTCTAAGGATCAAGGCACTGACTTTATGCACATATCACACTTCACTTTATTTTTAAAAAATCCAGTCTTACTTGTTTGTTTCAGGTGTGTTTGTTTGAACAATAGGCCAAAGTTTCCGTCCCTTAAACCAAAGCTGCTGGATCTGAAGGGGTTACTTATTGATCCACGTAGCTGGATATGCCTGAAGTCCAGACTTTCTTTTCAAGGCTGATGAGCCATGCACAGTGTGGTCCTCTACTGTCAAGGAATTCCGTTTGTTGGGTGGAGAGATGGAATTTTTATTCACAAAAATGAATCTAATTTCCCATGCAAATATATATTAAAAATTGTAACTATGAAAGTGATTTGGTCTTTAGCTTGCATTACCTTAATTTCCTCTTTATTGTAACTATGATTGCATTGCTTCTGTGTTCTGAAATCTTAATAACATTGGGACATAATGAAGGAGAATTATTATTCTCTGGAAAAGAATGTAATAAGGCATCTTTCTTGTTAACCACTCCCAGCACTGTATTAGAAAGCCCTTTTTTTTTTTACCTTGAAAGTAGCCCAAGCACTGTGCCTATAAATGAGTGTTATGAGTTTTATCAAGATGAACTAAAACCAAGATTGCTTTCTTTATATAGAGGACTGAAAGTTCATGTAACCTGGCACTTGTCTAAAGCTAACCTTGTGTTGCATAAAGGTGCTGTTACAAAAACTCGTGTCTGTTATTTGTTTAAAACTGATCTTAAGTTTTCTTACTCAAATGCCTGTGGAATTTCTCTTCCTAATGCAAGCAGTGAGCAGGTGTCTTGATGTTGACATTTACAGTTCCTAGAGCTAAGCCCTGATGAAATGCTTCAAAGGACAGGTCCTATCTCTGCTGCACTGAATGTGTATTAATGTACCTCATACATGGTCAGGCACCAGTCAGATGATACAGGTCTTAGGCCACAGAGACCAGATGTTGTATTATTCACCTTGGTATGATTTACTAAAATGAACCTGACATCCTGTCACTAGACACTGGCCACCCCAGTACTGAGTGGTCAATCATTTGATAAAGCCTATGATGACAGATAAGTATTTTCTTACTACATCTGCTCAGTTTCTGGTGGTGCCTGATTTAATCTGGAGTGAAAAACTGAATGGTGCCCTTTAAATAGAGACAGACCAGCGCTAACGTGTCTCAGTCTGTGTAAGAGTGCAGTCCTTCACCAGTGAATGTCAGGATATTGCAGGTTGTCTTCTTATAAACTTGCTAATCAAAGTAACTCATCGTAGTGGTGGACTTCTCCACAACACAAATTTTGGACATTACTGTGATAGTTTCACTGGGCATCTCAGTGAAATACCTGAATTTCATCATTGCCACCAGGTTATAAAGAATGACCTTCCAGGACAGTTGAGGTAATGTAAGTTTCCTGCTAGGGATTGCTCCATGGAACCTCTTTGAGAGGCACCAGCTATTTTAGAAGACAGCCATACACTCCAGTGATCATTGTCCCCTGAGAAAGTTTCCTTGTATCTTGTAATTAAGAGGATGAGTTTACAAATACGACCTTGATTCTAATGTTTGCAGCAGTCACATGGTGTAGCACCTTAGCAGCTGCCTGGGTCTGTTCAAGCCTGGGGCAGCAATCTGGACTAGCCTGGAAGTGAGCATCACCTAAGGATGGGGAAGAAACCTGACCTTGTCTGATAAAGGCTTAGTTTGCAGTTTTCTCTTGCTCCCTAAAAATGTGCACTTGACAAGTATCATCAGAGCCTCTTACATTGCTCATGACAATGTCTCTTTGGAAAACATACATCTGTTTAATACCATATGTACTTGTGAATAAATATTTTGAGTAATCTGATCTGGAAAATTGTTCATTTATTTATTTTTTTATAAAGGCAGAAGTTTAGTGTTGAGCCTTACACACCTGTTGCTACTGTTTTTATGTGTCTTTGAGTCCTCATTAAATTTTGTAAAATAGTCCTTTTTTTTTTCCTTGATTTAGACTTGGCAATGATGTCTGTCCATAAATCACTTGTACTGCTGAGGGATAACTTCTGGATGTTCATTTTGGTTGAGGGAATTCATCGCCACACTGATTTTCTTGAACAAAGAGAAGAGGATGCAGATCCATTTCATGTTTTTTTTCCTCTTAACTGGGCAATATTTGTCTTTGAGTGATATCCAATACTCTCACTAGTAGGTGCTCCTTGAGTTTGATGATGTTAATTTTTTTTGAGGTTGATTTGAGGTCTGTCACACCTAATGAATACTATTCCCTTCGTGTTTTTTAGAGTGTATTAATGCCTTTTCTTTTTCTTCTGTGTTTATGCTGTTTCCCAGGATGAATGTTTTATTATGTAATATTTTGGGGGAAGGCAGTGGTAAGTTACTCTCTGTATCTTTATACTTGCAGTGATGCTCTGACGTGAGATTCCAGATCTTTTGATTCTTAAGATTCACTTTATTGATTCACTTTATTGAAGCTCACCACTGAAAACAAAAGAAAACATTGGTCCCAATTTATTTGGTCAAACAAGGTCTCCTGTGTGCGCTGGAGGTGGAGAGGGAAGGAGAGGCTGCTGAAAGATGGTCAGCTCTGTACTCCAGTGTCAAGATATTCTTCATTATTAAGATGGTGATTGGTGGATTTCTCAATAGCTATTGTCATAGTTTTTGAGGTTCACTGGGTTTTTTTGTCCCATTTTTTTTTGTTGTGTTACTTTTTATCCTCTTGCTTACTTGCTTCCTTTTGTGGCGGATTGAAATTCCACAGGGCACTAGCACAGGGCTAATTAAAATCAGTTGGCTGGTATATTGAGATGGTCTAGGTGGTTTTAGTTGAATTGAAGATGCAACTTAATTCTTGGCAGATCAAAAGATAGATTTCAAGCTTTAAGGTGAGGAGAGGAGTGCTCACTAATTGGCCTCACTGGTGACAAGTGGATTAGAGGATGCACTCTGGCAGGAGGCTGCCAATTAGGTAGACTGAAAGTACCTACAAAGTCACGTTGTCCTTCAGCCTGGGGTTGTGACTGACCTCTGCTCAGATTTGGGTACTGACCCAAGGCAGGTCTAGTGATTGGATCCCCTGGTAGCTGCCAAGTGAGGGGTGGAAGCAGAGTAAATTGGGCCAGAAAATGCCAGGATCTGAGCCCTGAGAGACATACTGGTGGTTTCAGGAAGAACCTCAGGGGCTGGCTTCAGTGCTGATGGCTTCAAAGTGGCAGCTGACTTGTGATGCCCGAAGAATAAGCTCTTAATTGTGTTGGAACTGTAGAATTAAGTATTACCTGCTCTAACATAATCATTTGCTAAGTTTACTGTCACCTTTGCCCTCCTTTTCCCACTACCTGTCACTGGTCAGGATTACATTAAGGCTTTTCATAAGAGCGTCTGTGTGCAAGTCTGATAGTACGAGCAGGAACCTGCTGGTGATTTCTGAAGGCAGCAATAGGAGGAGTTGTGCTGCTGTGGACGCCTTGCAGGCAGCAGATTCAGGGTGGTTTACACAGCGAGCTGTTCCTCTCGGTGCATCTGTACAGGGCTGTGAGTGCTGAGGCAGCCCCTGGTTTCATAGTGACTAGAAGTAACTAGTCAAGAGGGGAGAGTCCAGGTTTGATGTTTTCCATGTAAATTGTAAAACTGAAACAACAACAACAACAAAAATTTCTTGGACATCAACTTGCAGTACCCCACTAGCAATTAAATGGGGTTTATGCTACATGGGCATGGTGGTGTTGGGTTGACGGTTGAACTTGGTGATCTTGAAGGTCTTTCCAACCTTAATGATTTTATGATTATATCTGTTTGGCTGTATTCTTAAATAATTGATTCTTCTGAATTATTTAATGAGGGGTTAATTTATTTCTCTATTGGAGATAGATCCTGGCACTGGGTGGTACGTTGGTCTCCTGTAGTTGAGGAGTATGAGTTGCTATAGGCAGCAGCACATGCAGGAGTTGGTGTTTAGCTTCCATCTAACCCTTGCTCTGTGCAGCCCAAAACACTGAGAACCCTTCACAGAGGGTTGATTGAGATGGGTGGTAGTGGAAGCTAAGTAATGTAATTCATGATAAAGAGGGCAGTGGTGGAGTCCCCATCCCCGGAGGGATTGAAGAGTCATGTAGACATAGTGCTGAGGGAGATGGATTAGTCAGGGACTTGTCAGTGTTGGGTTAATGGTTGGACTCGATGATCTTAAAGGTCCTTCACAATTGAAGCAATTCCGTGATTCTGTGATTCTAGCAATGGCTCATCTGCCTCTCTTCTTCCTTACTTGCCTGGTCTGTATAATGAAGTGTGTGAGCCCTGAGACTGGATGTGTTATGGAGACGATTCATACAGGAATTAAAATCTGATAGGTACCATTTTAGGGAGAGTTTACTTTGATAGATATCCCCTGTTCTTGTATCTGTGAGAATATGGTTTAGTGTGGAATTGACCCAGAATCAAGAATCAACAATTTTGGGAAATTTCTTGACTCAGAAATGCTGAAACACTTGGAGTTTTCAAAAGGAAATTGGCAAGTTGTTCCATTTGAATTTGAGATGCAAACAGGATATTTCCCTAGAAGTGGCAATCTGAGAGTTTTGCTCCAGTTAAAAACCTCAGGAAACTTTCTCAGAAGTGCACCAGGGTTGTGTGGGGTGTATTTGTTTGGTTTTTTTTTGGGTATTTTTGTGGTTCCAGTCTAGACTTTCTGACACATGATGGCTTCAGCCTGATAATCTGTCAGACCTGCTGAGCATCCGTAGCTCACTACCAGGATTCAGACACAGAAGATTCACTGCCACTCAGAAGCACCCAAACCTTCTCATTAAAAACTGTCTTGCTTTCTGCAGCAGTTATGTGATCTCAAAAGAAAAGAGATCCCTCTCTGTTTCCACAAACCACATCAATTTGTAGAACTGGGAGAAAGGCTGTTTTTCTGTCCTATAATCACTAAAGCACACACAGCACTGTTTGTGCTGGGAGCAGGCGCAATAGCCTATAACGATGTCTGTGCTGTGCAGATACATAATTAAGGGTCTCTTAAAATCTGTTTTGTTGCTGGAAAAGACAGCACAGTGAATTTATAGTTTTCAGCACATCTGTAATGTTACGAGATAGTTGCTTTAAAGAAAAAAAAAAAACCCAAAACAGCCTACAATCCTATGTCTTTTCATTTGCGGTTTTGGTCTCTAGGTGGCAGGTTTTGACACTGAAACATGGTTTTGGTTCCCGTTCTGAACTCAGGGGCTGGAAATGTGCTGGAGAAATAGAAGATGAAAACAAGAACAACACTTCTTTATTCTTTCTGGATATTGTATTGATTTATGATCATATCCTTTTATGCGAGCTGGGGAGAGGTGGAAAAGAACCTCGCTGGTTTCCCTCCCTGTGCTCTCAGTACGCCCGTGATGTTGGAATGTCTTGTTTTTCAAGCTGGTGTGAGTGATGTTGTCTGAACTGTGTGGGACCTGCCTTAGAGAAATACCTGTCTTCATTTTGAAATGGACAAGAAATGGCTTAGACTGTTTCTTCAAGAGCTTAGCAATTCTGACTTATTTTTTTTTTTTACTTTTATTCAGTTGCCCGAGGCTGGAGGGCAGAAGAGGAGGAGAAGAGGTAGGGCTGTTAGGGAGGAGAGACATGAATTGCCAGACTTAAAAGGAGTTTTTTTTCTTTACAACAGTAAAAAAGAAAAAAATAAAACCAAACCCAACCAGTGTGTAATAAAAAACTCCCTATGAAATAGTCACCAGCTGCTGACTCCCTAGAGAGAAGCAGGAGGAGATTGAGCTCATGGAAGAAAAACATCTTCCCCACTGCCAGGTCCACCACACTCTGTGTGCTGAAGGTGCCCAGGGAAGTGGGGGGCTGGACTAGCCCCGCTTCTCCGAGTGTGAGCTGAAGAATGAGACCAGTTTGGTTTCAGGGACTTTGGTGGCAGCCCTTGTGTGCAAGAGGTTGCAAGAGGTCTTGTGGGTTAGGACCTGTGTATGAAAACTGTGGCTGTGTATGTAGAGACAAGTATGTGCATGAGCCTGCGTGTAAAAGTGTCTCTGAAGGACTCACAGCCTGAAGGAATGCGTCTTGGTCAGGTCATCCTCTCCTTTTGTGTTCTGCTTTCGGACTGTAAATCTTACTGTTAAATAGCTCTAGCTACGAGGAGGAGAAACAATAGGCAGAAGATTTAGTCTGCAATAATTTCAGTCATTTAACTGGTTATATTTTATTTATCTTTCTGTAGACAACTGTTATGTTTGTTCAAGACAGGCACTAAAGTTTTTTTCTTTCCCAGTATAGATGAATTGGGAGTAA